ATTACTTGAAGCATTATTAATACTCTTTCACATTTTTCTTTTCATGGTAAGTTACTGTTGTGCTGACGTTCGCAGCGGTTTTCATTATATGTTGCAATAAATTCAAGTTGTTCCTTTTAATGCCTGAGTCAATTTGCGGCGCTCTCATGTTTAAGAGGTTGCTGCGGATTTTTTTGTGCTCCATCAATTCGGTTCTTCTTCAAACAACCAAAGATTTAACGATATGCGGTTTTGAATAACAGAATCATACAATAATAACTACTTAACACATTCATTTACCATTTACGTCATCTATACGGCAAATAAATATCCTGTTCTGGCACTATTCGTAATAATCTGTGAAAACTCGACCCACATAATATAGAAGTACAATACAGCAATTTCACGCCGCGGCAGTTTTTAATTTTCCTCCAGATCGTCGAGAAGCTGGTGAGTAGAATACACGTAGTTCGTAGATGTGCTTATATCGCATAATCTGCGACGATTCAGAACACGAGTGTGCCAGCAGTTTGACACTCGGAACAGACGTGACACGGTTTCATTATGGTCTGATATTCCAATATCGAGACTGTACGATTCTACATGTGCTAAGTCGTGCTAAGAGGATAACTTAGGTCCTAGCTTTTCTTTAGAAATAAGAACAGCATTGGTAGTATTGGTACAAATATAAGTTAGTAGCCAAAAACATGAACGGTTAAAATAACCAAATACGTTACTAGGAACCAGTTAACCAAAAAGAAAAACCATTTAGGTACTGTAAATCCCACGAAGACACTTTCAGAGGAAGTATAGAATAATACCCCGCTTTTTATACTCTTGGAAACTAGGTGAAATACTAATGAAAACAAAGGTCCGCGCTGGAAGTTTGTATTAGGTAGTTATATTTGTTCTATTTGTGCTCGTATTGTCTAGCGAGGCTTCCAATGTTCAACAGAACGTTTAATTTCAAACTGCGGTTGTGTAACACATCCCCGGCTCTTTGTTTCCGCTACCATCGCGCTGCATATTGCTTATTGATTTTCTATAAATACTGCATCTGTTACTGAATTAGATTAAATTCAGCAACAGATGCAGACTTGGGTTTGAATAAGTTTAAATGCAGTATTTTATTTAGTAAAATATGAACCTTAGGTATCTTATGCTATAGTTGCTTTTCGAGTAACTATGGTTTCGAGTTTATTCTTTTAGTAACTCTTTCTAAGGCTGCCCAATGCAATGACGAAAATAGTATACTCACCCCTAAACCTTATACTTAAGGACATGTGCTTTATGACCGTCGCTTGTATAGATAGCTATAATCACAAAGGCTAGTTAAAAGCCTGTCTGGTAAAAGTTGTAAGCATTAAGTTGTGAAGGCCCAAGACACAACGAATCAATACATTGTCTAGTGATGGTAGTAGTATTGACATTGAAGTGAAAACTATAATTTTCTTGATATCAGGTTTTAATATTATTCATGGTAATAGTAGGATAGATTTCAAATTGATACATTTTTTCTCAGATTCTGATAACATCTAACAGGAGGAAACATAGAAGACTTCTTCTAATCCTTTTCCTACTCAAGTAAATGACCCCACAATAATTTTCTTCCTTTGAATCCATCGTACCGTATCAAGTAAAACGTTAAAAAAGAAAAAAGATTCTCAAACATTTCGCTACAATAAATATTCGTGCAATTTCGGCGTGACATCGTAAGCTCAGTTTAGATACAATGTCAAATGGACGAAGCGGAAGCGATGGAGGAGTTAATCCCTCACTCCAATCCACTTACGTTGCACGGGCCGATCGGTTTCGACCCCAGTGACGTACGACAGCACAACAACCAACAACCTGCCAAAAATCTTCAATAGATTTTCGACCTTATACCGACACTTCAAAGGCTGATAATGTATTATAGAAATTTGTTATTTTGGTATAGGTTGACTAGCTTGTATGCGTGTTATGGTACATAACATATTCATGACGATTTCAATAGTCGACATGCGACAGTTGTGGCGTGATAATGTACAATGTAGGCATGCAGTACAAATGATATTTTACCATAAATATAGTTTTTCGAGCATTGAGCATACCATTACTGTATTCAAACGTAGAATTATGTAGGTACATATAATAAGTACGACTTTACTTAAAGAACAGGCACATAACATCACGCCTTTTATCCTCGAAGGGGTAGGCAGTGGTGCAAATAAACACACTTAGTGCCACTGTACAATGTAACACCCACTTTTCACTATTTATGTTACGTACGAGTTCCATGTAATAAAGAGTAAGCCTATTGCCACATACCAGTCACAATTCTGGACTTCGTGCTACTACTGAGAATTTTTTAAAACCCAGTATCCTTTGTCCGACCCAGGAATCGAACTCGGGACTCCTTGCTCGGCAGTCGCACTAGCGACCACTCGGCCAACGAGGGAGTAAGCAGCAGCAAAACAGGCATTACGGACTAGGGAGTTATTTATTTGTGGAGAGTACAATGTTAGTTGCCCTTAAAGTTCCCAACATGAAGGACAGGACAGCGGCAGTCATTATGCGTAGTCACACAAACGCTTGTCTTCTCTAGAAAAGGCTGTAGCAAGGTAAATTATCCATAAGACTGTAAGAAAGGTCAAATTATCCTTATGATCATTATTAGTATATTGGGGGCTTCAGACCCTGTGCCAAATCGGTAAGGGTTCATCCCTAGGGACACTAAAAGAGTGCCCTTTGAGCCTTACGGTTCACGGCGTTATTTGAATCAAGAGATGAACCCCTCTTGTATGGTATCATCTGTGGTCGTCTAGTGTCTAATCGCTCGGTACTAACGAGTAGAAAGCCCTAACTGTTTTATAATTGTAGTCAGTCGCTTCGATACGCGGACCATTGAACAGGTGATAAACGGCTTCAGTGAAATTCTCATAGTTAGTTAAGTATCAACTGTAAGCATTTTTGATACGTCTAAATAGAATCTCAGTCAGTGGGCTTAGGTAGTTATTTCGCAGCTTCGTTTAGTCAGGACCACTAATTTTATGAGTCCTACGTAGTAGGGGTTGAGCTGGGAATAATACGAGGCTCCGCGTTGTATAAGTATTCTTGGGAATTTCACGTAGTTATACCTATCGAAAAGATGAAATTAATATTCTGCCAAATCGAACCCGATCCGATAGGCGCCTTGGTCGACAGTAGTTACGTTTTAGTTAATGTAAACAGTAGCAAGCTAATATTGGTGGTGACCAGTGGCGTAACTACAGGGTGGCAAGTCTGTATAATGCCACGGGCCACAAGCTGGAATGGGCCCCCGTTCTGATGTCTTCATCTAGAGTTACTGTTTTTATATTTGTTAGGAGTTTAGGACCCCGCTTCGATAAGTTTGCTAAGGGCCGCCATCGGTATACTATAGTTACGCCACTGGTGGTGACAGATGTTAATGCCGAGGTATCGAATTGCTTTCGGCGAAATGCTTAATGTTTACGTATCGGGTGGGTACGCAGAAAACGACATGACGCCTTTAGTTAACTAAATTAATATAACAAATATAAATAGGTAGGATATAAGAGTAGAAAAAGTTGATCAAGATTAAAGGAGCCTTATGTTCCATTGCCAGGTCGGGTAAAGTATTATTGTGATTTTGGATTTTCACCACTTTTCACATAGGAAAACTAATTCAAAACAGAGTTAACAACAAATAGGTTTGCCCCCTGTTATGGAGGCGTATGGGATTAAAGTAGGTTTTATAAGTCCCTGAGCTGTGCTAACCAACATTGTGGTTTGTTACAAAACAGTTCTTATGGAAAAGGGACTAGGGTTCACATTAGACCCAAAATTTACAAGAGAATTAATATTAATTTAGGTAGTTATTCATGTAAATGTATATTAGTAATTTTATTAATGTTATTTCATGTCATATCTGTCATAAATAGGCAGACAGCATTAAATAGTTAGTATACTATAAAATTAACACTCATGTGTCCGTATTATGCTACATCATGAATTAGGATAATATTGGTACTTATTACAAATTCTAGGCCACATCCCTATTCATGTCTACCAATGGCAATAATTTCCAGAGACAAAATATATTTTTGTAGCCGTAATTATAATAAGAGGAAAAAAAATTTAAAATAATAAAATATACTTAACGGACTTAAGGTAAAAAAATATACTAGTTTATTTTTAAATATGATGCCTTTGTTATCACATACAAACTACTGCCAAATACTCAGTATGTTAGCAATTAGTCATAGATTTTTTGTTTAATTTCAATCATTCATCTGAGTCATGAATTCATGATTTATCTAATGGCTTTATTTTTAAAGATACCGGACAGGTTTTAACAATTTAAATATATTTGGAATACTCTTGGTAACTATTAACATTTTATTTAAAATTGTCTCTTTCTTATAAGAATGAGGTAAACTATCTTTGATTCAATTTGTTTCAGCTTTAACTGATATAGAAAGTAATTTTCTCTTTGATAGAGTGTAGTCCAGCATAATTAGTACATAGAACAAAAACTACATACATACTCTCTACACACAAATGTTTTATGGTCATGCCATTGTGTTCTGATCCTGTTTGACATAGATAATGCATTTTTATGCTAATCAGTAAATCATTAGAGAGCAGTTTTGGTGCCTACATACAAAAACTAACTAAAACTGCAGTTATTATGAAAAATCTTGTATTATCTTGTACAATTACTTATTAGTTTTATATGTGCAATACATTATATCCCACAAAATTGATAAAATAACAATTGGAAGTTTGTTAACGTCAGAGATATCCGCCCATGACATCATCAAAAAAGTAAATACGTTTAGGCCCTTTTCACTAAAGCATCGTGAAAATAATAAGACCGGTGTAATATTCTAAAAATACGATTAGATACGAGTTCATTATCATCTCATAAACGGGATACACTGGGCTGTACAAGTAAACTAAACACTTATTAAATTCCTAGCGGATTTTTAACGAGATAATCGAAAACAGTAACTCATCAAATTATTTCGTGCACTTACCTGTAATTTTAATGTTTAGTAGCACCCAAATAAAACAAAATGCGCTCGAAGACACTTAGCACACCCACTAGGCACCAAAATACAGCACAAGACGAAATGAAAAGGTTTCGCACTGACAGCTCGTTGGCTGCTGGTCGATCGACTCGGTGAGGTTAGCCACGAAATGCGCAATGCTTTGACTATGCGCATTGACCCCCACTGCAAAATGTCATGCGCGTTTAATCATAGGGATTAAAACCGATTACAAATAAAACTTAATTTCTTTCTTGAAGCATAAAATTAGAAATTAACAAAAAACAATAAACAAACGTTAGTATTGTTGATTTTGAGCGCCATCTATTGGTGAGTAGCATTTAAAGTGGTTATGAATAATAGTCCCGCCATCTGTTGTCGAATAGAAATTAAAATTATTATTTGATTTGCAATCTAGATGGCGTTAAAAACACGTTTTCCACAATTTTTTCCAAAAGTATTTATTATTATTATAGATTTTTCCAATGTAAATAGGTTTTACAAACATATACCTTAAAAGTACATGTTTCTAAAAGTATTGAAGTAGTTACTGATTGAAAACTAGAGTAGGTAGTGTAGGAATTTCAAAATCAAGTTCTGCTCTCTTTCTCGTACAAATTTTAGTACCTACAAGATTTAAAATAATAATTAGCATATTTGCTTTACTGGAGTTACAGTGTTTACTGGTGATTTTGCTATGATATGCTGATTTCTGAGGTGATTTGATGTGATAAAATGCGAATATAAATCAAGTAGGTAGGTACCTACCCACTAACCTACCTTTCTGCAAATAAAAATAATCCGTTAAAATCACGAATTTGGTATCTACCTAGGTATTCATATTTTTCTACCTATCTATATTTTGTCAAGGTTTTTTAATAATTAAAAATAGTTTATCATTTTCATTAATAAAAACATAAATAATTCACAACCGTAGGCTTAACTTTGGAGATTTAAAGCGCAATAAAAACCATTCGATAAGTACTTAGATATTAAGTTAAGTCATTGGATTATTTTTTTTTTTATATTCTTCGGCTGTTTAGTCTTCAGAAGCATTTGTTGAAAACAAAACATTAGTAGATACTTGTTTGATATCTGCTGGTATTTGGTGAAAGGCTCACTCTTTCTAGTATAACATGACTGCAAAAAGTCAAGGTGCAAACTGAAATTGATGGATATGCCTTGCCTTTTGGGAACCTTTATATCATCACTATTGGCGGGCCGCTTGCAGATTGGAGTTAAGTCATCTAATGAGGATCTTCATTCGTCATAGAGGAAAGCATTCATAATCTTAGTTATGTAAATAACGAACCATTGATTAAAGTATGGACTGACTTATTTAGGAATTTATTACTTATCATTTTTGGTTCCAATTTAATTTGTTGTTGTTCTGCGCGGGGAACAAATCCATCGTCACCAGTTTTGTGTAGCCGATCACGTAGTCATTTTGCTACATTACCTAAGTTGTTCGAGAACAATGTGACGCTTATAAAAATGTAGAATTTGTACCTAATAAATCATATTAATTGATTAAACGAGCATATTCATATACATAATCATAGGAACCTAATTATTAATATTATAATCATAATTTATGCGAATGTTCGCTATTCATAATTACGGATAGGTAGATTATTATCAGGGATTAAACGGCAAGTGTACCTATATCATGTAGGAATCGAGTGCTTTTGGTAAGGCTATGGTTACATTGATGTGACCACAGATTAAGTAGGTAACTAACGTGACCTCATTTTGCGTTTGTGTATCTATAGACCAGAGACCTAGTACCAGTTTCTTTTCAATGAGATCGGAACACTCTGATTGGTTGGTTCACTGGAACAGGCCAATCAGAGCGCCGAACGTCATAAGCGTGTCGATCATGGTAGGTAAACGTAAAACAACTCGTACTTATTTATTTATATTTTATTGCACACACAGAAAAAATTGTAAACATTGCAATAGTAATTTTGAGTTCAACAGGCGATGTGTTCCAGACAACATTTGGATGGAATTTTTGAAAAGAATCTGGTACTTACTGGGCTGGCTCTGAGGTCTTAGTTTGAGTTTGTTCGCTCTGATTGGTTAGTTCATTAGCGCCGGCCAATCGGAGTGCGGTCACGTCTCGATTACTTATAACGTTAAACAAACTTGTACTTAAGGCCTCTGGTTGATAACTTTTCGATTAATTCTGTACAATATAGATGTTAGCTGGGTTAAAAAGCTCATACCTATAGCTAAGTAGGGTTTAAAAATGAACAAGGGTAAGTATCTTTTGAATTTTTGATAAGTAAAAAAGAGTAATTAGCAATTAAGGATAGAGGAAATCAATTTATCTTGTTTATTAGTCAGCTTTTCATTAATTTCATTGTTCAGAATGTTATAGAGCAGTTTTAATTAAATAGATACACGTTTACTGATTATGAATTGCAATTGCATGTGTTATGTGACCAAAGCCTTAGAAGGTTTTTCGTAACGGCCGTCGTTATAATCTGGTACCTCCTGTTTACCTTGGCGAAAATCTCTAATTACGATAAGTAACGAATTGATTGTATGTATTGATTGGCTAATTAGGTCGTCATTATAATCAAAAGTAGGTACTAGGTTCTTATTTAAATGACTTATTATTTCTTTGTGTTATGTTTCAATGAATGCGCTGATATATTTCCAATATAACATTGCCTTGACTGGACTACATTAAATCTTGATTGATTTAGGTACGCTTAGGTACAAGGTACCAAGCGTAGGTCTGTATTGCTTAAGCACCGTAGACACTAGTCGTAAGCAGTGGTCTGCTTACACCGTCGAGAATTAAATTACCTCTTTTATAAACTACGTTTCAAAAAACCGTTTTCAACCTCCTCCTTTTGAAGTCGGTTATTTAAACTGTCAAACACCGCGAGGTCACCGGTGACCGCAACCTATTGTTCTTTAATTGAGTCTATAATGACGGTACTCGACGAGTTAATGTAAGTAAAACCTTCTCCAAAGTGTATCAAACACTTCTCTGACCAACCGCATAAAACCGGTTCAGCCAATCGCGAAAGAATTGCGCACAAAAATACATACAGTCAAACTGAGAACCTCCCTTTTGAAGTCGGTTAATAAATAAAATACATTAAAGTTGAATATATAGGATATTGAAACCGAGGTCTCATGTTCAACATTCATAAATATGGTCTTTAACTCGTCGAGTACCGGTTTTGCAGACACAATTATAGAACAATAGGTTGCGGTCACCGGTGACCGCTTGGTGTTTGACAGTTTAAATTAACAAAGATCATTTTAAACATAACATAACTTTTATCCCCGAAGGGGTAGGCAGAGGTGCACATTACGGCACTTAGTGCTACTGTATAATGTAACACCCACTTTTCACTATTTATGTTATGAGTCCCATGTTATAGGGGGTGAGCCTATTGCCATATACCGGACACAATTCCAGACTCCGTGCTACTACTGAGATTTTTTTAAAACCCAGTAATACTTTGCACGACCCGGCAATCGAACCTGAGACCCCTTGACCACTCGGCCAACGAGGCAGTTATCATCTTAAACGTAAAATTCAAAAAGAAGACAAAGGAGACAGAACTCTTGACACACATTTTGTTACAGTAACAATATTAACAATTTCCAACAACGTTATCAAACGAACAAACGGAAAGGAAAATCAAATAGATAGGTACCTACTCTATTATAGATACGATTCGTGATCTATCCTAGTCTCTATGCAACTAATCTTTTGACTACCTTACACCTAGATATCACCAAATAATATTTTTATCAGCCAACCAACGTGACAAGAACACAGCTTCGCTGAAATCCGCGTGACAACATTAGTATTCAATTTCAGTTTCTTGAACAGCCTCGTGTTTTCAGTGACCGATAACGTTATCGCGTCGTTACGTAAGCAGTGTGAAGGTAACGGCCGCTACTCGGTCGTTAGTTACGACGTTATCGCTATCCGTTAATCGTAATTGATCTCGCAACGTCTGATAACACTAAAGCCTGGCGATAAGAGTTGATAACGCCAATGTTCTTGCGGTATAATACTTACCTAATAAAGATTATATTGAATGACTATATTCGTCGTACATCATTTGTTTTTCATATTTTATTGTTTCCTTTGGTCGTCTTTATTTTTTTGTTTGATTAGAAACGTAACGTTTTAAATTTTACTGACTGTTAATTAACTGGCTTTTGGAGTTTTGAACATTATTAAACATTTATATAGTCACAGATAGGGATAACAATACTATTAAGCCTAGTGGTGTGATTTATGAAATTAATAATAGTCAAGCAATTCTGTACTTATTATATGTTTTAATTAAAATCACACCATAACCCTTCTTTTGGCTTCGCCGTAGCCGGGTAACAACCGACTCACAAGCCGCGTACATAGACACAGATAACAGCACATCATACTAGTCCATTTGAGAATAATCTCTCCAATAGAATTTCAACCTTATTACATAATATACATCAAAATTGGTCGGAGAGGTTTGGCATAGCTGTAAACCCAAACAAGTGCCAGGCCATCATCATAGGTAGCTCTCGGAATCTTGGATCGATTGACGGTGCAGCACTGCCTCCTATCTCGTATAATGGTGTGACTGTCCCGTTCAGTCGGGACGTGAAGGATTTGGGCCTGATTATTGATAGCACATTGAGCTGGCGTGCTCAGGTCGCAAGTGTTTGCCAAAGGGTGACTGGATCGTTGCGGGCTCTGTATCGTCTGAGGAACTTTCTTCCGTCCTCTGTGAAGACGCAGCTTGTGCAGACCTTGATTTTCCCGATTATTGATTACGCTGATGTCTGTTACTACGACCTGAATGCAGATCTACTCAACAAGTTAGACCGACTTCTAAATAACTGCATTCGATTCGTTTTCAACTTACGTAAATATGATCATATTTCTGCACATAGGATGCAACTGAAGTGGCTGCCCATACGCTTGCGCAGGCAGCAGAGGGCACTAACCACTTTATTCTCTTATCTTGACTCTCCTTCTTCACCTACTTACCTTGCTTCTTACTTCCAATATACGTGCGCAAACCACACAAAATTTCTTCGTTCGTCTCAAAATCGACATCTTCAATGTATCTCTCATCGCACTGACTTCTTTCATTCTTCCTTTTTCATTCAAGCTGTTATTTTGTGGAATGCATTGCCCAAGGAGATCAGAATGGCAACAAGTCGCAATTCCTTTAAATTTAAAGTCCGTGAGCATTTACTTAAGCATTGGCAGACTCAAAACAATTGAGGAAACTATTCTGACATCT